TACAGACAAGAGATATAACCGTAAGGGTGAAAGGCAAGTGGACAAAAGTTCGAACTATTATTGTGAAAGGTGAAAGAAATATTTAATACCAAAGGCTGACAAACCTCCACCTCCACCTTGACTAGAAAGGAATGGGTTCTTAAGTTTAGAATAAAATGAAACATGCTACACACCTCTGGGGTGGGAACACTTGCATTTGAAGTGTGAAGAGAAAACCTCATATATATTCAAAGAGGTATATATATTTATGTAAAAACTGCAATTACAAGTAGTATAAATTACTAAATTCATGTTGTTTTCCTGTCAATATATCTGAAATAAAATAAAAAATCAAATTGTCTCAAAACATCTTTTCACGCACTATGAGGTTAGAACATAAGATGAAAAGACATTCGAGAACAGGACAATATTAGGACCTCTAAGAATATAATACAAACAGCACCGTTTAAATTTTACACAATGAAAACATAAATAATATATAGTACTCTTTGCCTAATATTGTTACGACGATTAAACCAATAATTATGAATCAATGGAAAATGAACCTCTTACGGTGAAGTAACAAATCATCATAAAGTTTTGGTTTGACATCCTGGAGGTGGATGTGAAGAAACTATTACATCTCAGAGAAGCATATTGCGACTATATGAACGGAACTGAAATAACTCAGCATAAGATCAAATGGAGCAATTCGATAAATCTGTGAATTCCAGAGTAGGATATTTCTCGACTATCTAAACAAGTGCATATTCTGACAACTCTTCACTCTCCTTAGTTATCCATATTCCTTCTGTCGAAAGCCATGCAATTCCTGCTTTCTGCACTCAGTCGGTGTCCCGCTGCTCAGCATTTACATCATCGCTTAGTAGCAACGGAATGCAAGGTCTCATTCTAGCTGGAATGTGCCAGCAAAGTCTCAGAACCAGTTCTCTAGGCCTGTTATGTGCAAGCGTAGATGCATATTGTTGCCACAATAGACGCAAACACAAGAAGCTTAAAAAAAAAAAAGGGAACAACTTAATAGCATTCCGCAGTTATAAGATCAGTTCTTTGGTCCAACAAGATATTAGCATCCCTAAGAATATTTTGTGTTTATGGATCTTTTATGTCTAACTGCAAACAAAGAAAGGGCAAAGCACAAATAGAACTCAGAATTTAATACACCCTTGAGATACTGAATACCTTGTCACTGCCGTATGGAGCGTCTGCAGACGGCCTTCAGGTGTGGAGGGTATTGAGTAGCCGACATGGCGCTGTCCTCTAGCTCGGAGGTCGGGCCTGGAGTTAACAATTCTTCGCAGTAGAATGTCCTCTTATGAAGCTTCTGCAAAGGCCAATGAATTGGAGCGATCTCATGGAAAGATCAGGCAATGGAACTGGTTCATGATCGTGTCCAATGGCGCGATTTGTATTCACGCGCTGAACCTTCGTCTTCTGTTGCCAGATATGTTAGTCATAAGGTGAACGCAAACTGAAATGTAGGCCTACACACGTGTATACATAGTAGCTTACCTTAACCAGAAATTTTATCGAGTGCTGACGTGCTCAAAGGTGAGTTGTGGGATCAGACTCTTAGTGCTGAGTTCATTAGGGATATATAGAAAAAATATAAGCCCGAATTCGAGCACTGCAACGTATCCCGAGCACATTAAGTACGAGTATGTCTTCATGTGGTTTTTTCTTCCTCCCGTTTTATTCTTGAAAACAGATAATTGCCACACTCGAGAAATGCCTCTTAAATTTATAGTCCGAGCAAAGGAGTGAAACTTTTTGTCTTGTGGGATATAACGCCGTGTAGTCTATTGAAATTCAACAGACGTTTCGGAAGAATATATCACCTCAATTAATCCAGCAATAAACCAGTTATGCTTGCGCCTGCTTTATGCTAGTTTCTTGTTTGGCTTACTCTCTAACCCTAAAGTTAGAGGCGATATTTTCCTCAGAAATATCTATTGACTTTCGACAGACCACAGCGTTATATCCCAAATACAGAATCCTTAATCACGGCCAGAACCTCATATCCTGATACGAGGTTCTGGAAAAACAAATCTCCTTCTTTCTTGGAAACGATAAAGGCTGTATAAAAAGGTGCTCTCATAAGCCTGCTTCTAATTTTGCAAAATAAAGTACGTTAATAGTGAGACCCCGTTGCCTAGAAAATATTTAGGGGAGTGGGGGACAGATCTCATACGCCTCCTAACCAATATTAGTGAGGACACACAGACACACAGAGAGCAAGGTGATCTCATAAGTCTCTTATCAAAAATTAGGGGAGTGGGAGGATAAATAAACAGATGGATAGATACAGGCGGACACACAGGGAGACAGCAAGGTCAAATAAGCCTCTTTTTATTTTTAAAAAAACTCCGGTGTCTGTAGTCCGCAAGCTAACTATACCGACAGAGCGACCGCCTCTTGTCGGCAAAGTTAGTGCCAACTTTAGCGGATAGAAGGAAATTAAGTCAGAAATGAGTGAAAGTTAAAAATCAAAGGACATTTCTATGGTAGATTGAGAAACAGTTGATAAAATCGTTTGGAGGAAAGTTCCAAAGAATTTGTAATTTATATTAGGCGTGTGTCAAAACGCGTTACAATATCTCGGGCAAACTTATGTAAGCACGTGTGAGGAAATCACTCCATATTAACGAGACTAAATAGAGCTGTTATTACTGAAATACATTTCTCGGATTCTCTTCCTGTATGTTATCCTCTGTGTGTCGCACACAAAGACAGTCTCTGTGGAACTAAGTGACGTATGCAGTGAAATACGGCAGGGGGCATGTGCGTAGACATTCTCATTAATTAATGTCGACACTGCAGACTTGTCGAATGGAGCTTATGAAATATATGTATTTAATATGTTTGCGTGCAAGAAATATCGCGATTCGTGTGACTGGTCTAGTAATGGTTAAAAAGCTGTTGTGCATACAGCATAAACCGTTTGATAATTCACTTGAACGGAGTTGAAGTAAATCTCCATGAAGTTTTAACCTCAGAACTAGACGGCGGTGAATTAAATTTAAAGTTGCTTGGCCCTGTAGTGTGATAACACGTAAGCCGTTCTCTTAGAAATTTTCTACCTTCCTACGCTTTTATATGTAAAAACGCAATATATCGGAAATCGTTTCTATTTCTTCAAAAGGCGAGAATAAAAACAATATTAAAATGTGAGATTTGAGGTTCTCACAACAAAGACTATGAAGGTTACAATCTTCTTGGATGCGACGTCATGTATTTTGTTAGAGAGGTCAGCTACAACATGAAGAAGGCTGTTTGTCCCTTCAGTACAGCTCATGGTACAAAAGCAGCTATACCAAGGGGCCCGGCATAGTAGGAATATCTTCATATTCTTGCTAAATAACGAAAAGTTAGGGAGAGACCGAAGTCATACACGTGATAATGATGTTCTTGAAATTCTCTTGACTCACCGTGCATGTTATTAGATGTCTTTCCTCGTCACTTAATAAACCTGCCAGCAGACACTTCATTCCTCACGTTCTTCATGCTCGGATGTTCTTTGGCTGATTTAAAATAAAGTAGTGTCAAAGGACTTACATGTACGTGTGTAACCTAACCTAACCTAACCTAACCCAACATAGTCCCAAATAGCCTATTATGACTAAACCTAACTCAAATTACTCTTCAAATGACTTAGAGACTTGTACTGTATAAGTCTGAAGCACAGAAAGGGATAATTGTACAGAACAAAGACATAAACTCACTAGTACTGTGAAGAAAGCAGTCTTCTGGGATTTTGCACCGTGCATATGTGGTGTTAACCGACGTTTCGGTCTGCTTCTACCGGTTCTCACGGTCTCTTTGCTTGCAGATTTCTTATATATTTTTTCTTCTAGCCTGAAGATGGAGGCGATACGTTCCTCCGAAACGTCGCTTAACACCACATATACACGGTGCAAAATCCCAGAAGACTGCTTTCTTCATAGTCACCGCCGTGAAAGCCTCAAATCTCACTAGTACTGTATTAAAAATCGCAAAATATTTTTTTTCCGTGTCTTTTAAAACTTACTCATAACTTTTAGTTCAGTGTACTGCTGGAGTTAATTTTGATTCATGTAAGAAGTGCACACATAATCAGGACAGATTATTTCAAATTGCCAACTGGACTTCACAGACACGAAGTGTGGAAAGAAGGGTGAATATACGTAATGAGGATCTTCAGGATCCTTATGCCTACTCCCTTCCAAATACCCTTTGAGCAATTCAGTCAAGGGGGGTCAGATAGACGGGACATGCAGCATGCATGAAGAATATCTGTAATGAATAGGAAAATTTTGGCGGAAATCCTGAATGAAAAAAGGAAGAGACATTTTATAAGATCTAGGAGTCAGTGGATAGTTATTACCGCACCATACCTTGAAGAAAATTGGTGTGAGAATGTGGATTGGATTAAACTGGCTCTGAATGGGGTTCACCAGGTGGCCTTTGTGAACACGAAAGTGACGATTTGGGTTCCGTAAAGGGTTGGAAGTGTTTTGAACAGTTAAGTGACTAAGAGCTTCTTAAGGAGGACTATTGAAATCCTGCCAAAATGCAATCTATAATATGTCTGTATTTATCCTACTTTATATAGCAGGATATACATACAGTAACTAATGTAAAGGTAAGGATATCCCTGTAATAGGCCCTACTTTTTGTAAAGAAAATAATAAAGCAAACTGATCTTATTAACTGATATGGCAGTCTGCCACGAGCACTCCTTTCAGGTGGGGATTATGTCCTTGCTAGATAAGGATTGGAGAGAATGGTAAAGGTTTCCATCAAGAACTAATGTACAAACACCTACATTCCAGAATAACCGCCATACAGGCACTTTCTTTGAGGTAGAGTCGTTTTTATGCCGAAAGTCTATCCCCACATTTCCGCCAGAAAAGGAATTAACAAGATTACATGTTATTCCTTGTTCTCGTGTATAAGTTATAGGGATCTGTGTAATAAATTAATGGAAATTAGGGACCATACCGTATGTATTCCTTTGCGTGTGAAATTATTTAAACTTTCAACCTTTATTCATACACAAAACAAAATATCACAACCACCATCAGCGTTACATAGTTACCATACAAACACGACGAAACTGAAACTTGCAGTAGAATCTCAGATTAATTATTTTCTCTGTAGATGAGTAATTCATTTTTCAGTAAAGTCTGGAGAAGCCACAATATATATATGCTACATAACTACAGGATATAAAATCTTAATATATTTCTATTGGAGTGTTCGTTGGATTAACGTGACTAAGTAATAAGTTACTAGGAATATAACTTGTCAGTACTTGAGCATATACAAAGTGATTTATCAGAAATCTACCAGACTTCGTGGGTATATTAATCACGTGATTCTGAATAAAATATTCATATAAATTTGTGCCCAGTCTTGAAAGGTTAAGAATTCATGAAAATGTGAAAGTGCTATACCAGAGATACGAGGCTTCGATGAAAAATTTCATACTAACTTCAGAGTAAAACTAAAATAAATGCTTCTTAATAACGAAAAAAGGTATAAAACTGTCATTTGAACGCACAATTTAGCACTGCGTGCTGTTGCAGTGATCTGTAACACTACGCATGGGTAAATGTGTTCAAAATATATTCAGACCGCAAGCGGACACTCTGAACAGTTTCTGTAAGATGTTTCGCTATTAAATAGCAATTACTTCAGTTTCTCATTAAAATTCAACGAAAATCTCTCTTAATCTTCTCAATTCTGTCATATTGCTTTCAAACTGTCATCTCTCCTTGAACTATAAGAACGGGGTCCATATTAATATAACTCTTTGTTATGAGTTCATTGATTAATATATTCACGAATTTCGCCAGTATCCTCATAATTATCCTGTATAGTTCATAACAGAAATACAGCGTATAGGTGGGTATTACTGTAAATAGACTGAGTTTTCTAGTTAAAGTTCCCCTTAAGCCATTCAATGTCTTATGGGTCGGTCCGTCTTGAAAAGAGGAATGTCCGACTCTACCGCCTGACTAGGCACCCACAGGGAAACTGACTGAACATTCTGGGATTGCTTTGAGGCAGGTATATTGATCATAAACCGCTATAAATTGGGCAGATGCAATTATTCAAACTTTTATTCAAGTTAATTCAGGCATTATTCACTGACCACAAATCATTATGTCTTTTGTAGCTTAAACATGGATTCTACAAATTCACCGCAATGGGTTAAATGTCCAGAATAGTAGTGACTAGGTTCGGACTCCCTGTAACATGAGCTGTAGACCTGATGTTCCTTTGCATGAACATTTGTGTCGCCTTGGGTCTTCTTCCCTCGTTAATTTATGATCTTTGAACTACCAAGTATATCACGCGATGAGATGGCAACATTCTTCACTCTAGAATGCCAACACGGATCATGTATCTAGGTATTCTAACATATTGTACTTTATATGACTTAATATTTTGATATAAGTAAAGGAAAGGTAGAAAAACAAGATAAAATATCATGTTAACAACATGGAAACTGACAAAATGTCAAATTCCTTACATTCATATCTACTGCTCTCACATCTGCAGCTGAAATTATGACAGCGGAATGAGTATAAGATTGTTGCTTTATCTGTTTTTATTACAACAATGCATTTCTATCAGTAATTAAGTACGATATCCACATATTTTGACCGATATCGTGTCAAGTTACCGAATAGCATCCCTTATTCAGTACGGTAATCCAAAACAATCAGGTCAACGTACATTGTTTAGGACAAAGCAACATGGCGATTGTCTGTGAAACACGTGTCCTTCAGCCGGAGTAGTTGACACTGTAAGATCCTGAATATACATCAAAATTAGTTGCTGGGTGACCACGGAATTGGTTGGGATCAATTTTAGGATAGTAGGGCTGCTGAGGAGAATTATACTGATTTTGGGGTGAGTTGTATTGTTGTTGGGGAGGGGGGTTGTAACGCTCCTGGTATGAGGGTTGTGAGTTGTAACGCTCCTGGTATGAGGGTTGTGAGTTATAACGCTCCTGGTATGAGGGTTGCGGGTTGTAACTAGAGGACTGCTGGTTTTGAGAGTATCTAGATTGTGTATTCTGGTACGAGGGCCTATTCGGTGCACTGTTAAAAGAAGATGATTTGTAGTAGATACTTGGATCCTCACGATACTGGCCGTCGTCATAGTCACTTCCCAGCGAGTTGCCTTGATTGTAGTTGTTAGTGAGTGTTGGGGGAGCCACGTTGATTCCTGTACCTGCAGGCTCGAACCCACGTCTGCTAGCACCATACTCCACCTCACGTACTTTGCCCGTGTCATCGACGTAGCCATACTTGCCGACTACGTCCCCTGTCGGATGTTTCGTTTCTATCTTGTAGCTACCGTCAGCTGCCTCGTATCCGTAGCTGTAGGATCCGTCCTCGTTGTGCCGATTGATCTGTTTCAGGATCGGAACTGGGGTCGTTTGGTCGTAGTACTGCCCGGTAACCATGACAACCATCAGCATCGAAACAACCTGCACGGGCGGACGTCAAAATACAATTTAAACTAAATTTAGAATGAAGAAATATAATGTGAAATACCACGATGAAAAATACAGAAGCTTCCAGGCTCCAATAAAAATGACAGACTAAAAATAAACACAGAGGGAACTGAGAGCACATGTGTCGATACCACGTCACCAGGACGTATGAAAAATTTATAGTCCAAAAGACAGACAATAAATTATTCGAACATTTAGGAAATTCCAAATATACGTATTTGGAAATGTAAAAAATAGAATAAAACTTATGAATTCACTTTGTGTAAGAAAGTTTGAAGATTATGGCTTGAAAACTGAACGTGTAAAGGTACCATTTTATATAAATAATAACTAAAACAGATCTGTTAATTTTTTTCTTACGTGTAAGTTATATGAGCTCCAGCAAAAACGTGCTTGTAGATGTCATTCCCAAACTTAATTTATAAATTTAGTTTAGTTATAAGTCAAAATGAACAATTACTACACAATTTAGTTGCAAATTATCGAAGGAAGTGAATGAGATACAATTAAAAGGATAATATAAATATATGTTTTACTAGAAATGTGTTATTAAGATGTGAACAGGACTGATCTGGTTCGGAATTGATTCCTATGGTGGATGTTTTATAACACTAATATCAGTGTTCCATAAAAGCGACGAATTTCTTGACCAGCTCTGTAAGTATGGGCATTCGAATAAAGTCAATGTTCTATGGAGTTACACACGACAAGACCAATCTTCTATATCAGTTATAGCTATATGTACTGGATTCAATACAAAATAGAATGATTAACTTTTTAAAGCAAATGGTAACAATATATAACATATGATTTAACTTTAAAAATAGTGCATTTGCCAGAAAGGATTATTTCTGTGTCTGGCATTATTCGCATAATAAATGAACATGATTTCGACAAATAACATTGACTCTTTGCTATTAATAATGAGAAAGCAATGTTCTTTCTGGGTTAGGAACTATTTTCTTCTCTAAATTATACAATATTTCAATAAATTTCGGTGTTAAAATGATGAATATTTGGACAATGGTCTTAAGAAGAAAATCTATCTTGAAGATGGAAGCAACAGATTCCTTCGAAACATTAGTTACCATATATCAGACTACATAGCATCATAACTCTACTAACAAACAAAAAAGGGCCGCGCTATAGCTCAAGCGATTAGTCACTGGGGCAGGTTTTCTCCGAGCACTTCAGTTTCTCCTGCCAATCTTCATTCCATCAATTGATCCACAATCACCCTCACCTATCATCTGAGGCTGGTACAATAGGCCAGAAGTGGCCGCAGTACAAGGGACTTAGTCCCACCCCACTAGCAAAAAAAAAAACTCCGTGGTTTAAGTCCGCAAGCGAAATAAACTATACTAACACAACATGGATCTTCGTCGAAAGGAAAGCATATCCCGTACGTAAATTTATTTCAGGGGTATGTTTTATGGCGCTATCAGTAACGCAATCTATATATCGTCAAATGGTAGAATGGTTGGTGGAGACAAATTGAAAATAAATTATATGTGGCTTAATGGAGGTATTATAAGATACTTTCCTGAAGGGACTGAGGAAAATAACGAAAACTCAGCAGGAATAGAATGTTCCGGCAGAAATTCTTACTGGACATATCAGAATGAAAAAGGAAGCATTGCTGCTTGAGCCAACTTGTTCCGTGGAAATTATTAATGATACACCATTAACTTTGTTATATATGTATATATATCTGTTTGACCCTAGACTGTAAGAACCAAATGTGCCCATGTTTCAGCATAAGCCAACTAACAGATTTGCTAGGCATTATGAAACACGGTAAGACACTGATGATTGTCTGTAATGTTGGAGAGACAACAAAACAATAGCAAAATTCAGAATTAACCGAGGCAATAACAATGCTTCAGTTCCTGCACGAACTTCATGTTTAACAGAATAATAAAGTAACTAAACAGTACAGATCTACCTTAAATATCTGATCAAGATCTGTCCTACCATTTCTTAATCAGAAATTTCTTAACCATAATAAAAGACTCAGCATTTGATTCTAACTTTAACTTCTTTAATCCATTTCAAATTCACATAAGTTATTTTCACCAAGACTTATTTTAACATTATATCCTTTCATCTACACTTAGGTCTTCTAAGTAGTCTCTTCCCACGAGAACTTATTGTTCTCGCGTGCCTGTTATGCACAATGTTCATTGCGTACTTCTTGTTTTAAGCACGATAATAATATTATGCAATTCATGTGAATTTGGTCACCTTGATTTCAAATTAAAAATTTGAAGCATAATATTTTTAAAAAGTCGATTAATGCTCAGAAAATAGATTACACCTCCGTTACAAAGATCTGCTTAGGTAAATATTTGTAGTTCATTCTGAGTATCGCATGGAACACGCAGATAAAGTCCTTGGTCCAAATGAAGATGTTATGAATCACGTGTTAGATATGTTTGCTTCTACGCTTTAAAGGGTTAAACAGAAATAATGTATAAATAAAAAGTATGAATTTATATATGAGGTTATGAAAATGAATCACACAAGGAGACCACAAAGATTTGACAATGAAGAGAAAGTTTCCTTGGGTAATTAACCTGAGCACTTGAAGCAAAAAATTATCAATTACCGTCGATTCATACATAAACTTACAATTATCGGAGAGGATCCCATGTCGAGAGTATGCGGTGGTGCTTGACACGAGAAAACAGTTGGGCATAGAGAAGCGCTGGCTTATATAGAGTGTTGCGGCCGCTGTGGCCCTGACAGTTGTCAAGTGGGAGACTCAAGGCTACCAGACCTATGTGTTCAGAATAATACTGCCGAACTCCTCGTAGCGTCTGAATCTGCCTTTGTGTAGCGCCGTCGCGACGTCGCGACGTCGGGTCTCTCAGGACACGCAAAATGTTAAACGCTGTATACATGACAACTAAATTATTGAACAAAGGATAAGGTTCCTTTGTGTCTAAGCATCGTCTAATAAAGATGTATATGAGATAAAAATACCATGAATTAAGAGGACACTGATTATCCTGGCTAATTCTCCTTATGGTTTTCCTCAGTCTCGTGCTACCATTCGACGCTGTATAAATTCGCCTCCTGAGAGCGTCGTTGAACAAACCAAACATCAATTAATAGGTAGATCCATGCATTTTATACGTCGGGAACAAAAATCGTGGTTGGTAGATAGCGCTTCTGCTTCATATTTGGCAGGGCATGTGTTCAGATACTGACACCGAGATTGGCTAACCTGATTGATAATTTTCGTGGTCTTCCCCAGCCCCTTCAGTAAAATGTTGTGACAGTAGCTCAAATCAGGCACGACCGCTTCCTTCCATATTCTTTAAAATTCATTGTGCTGTAGCACGTAGACCTGTTGTTAAGTAATAAGTCTAAAAAACGCTCGCTGCTAGGTAACGTTCACGGAATACGCAAATATATAGCTGTCGATACTGAGTAACAGCTTAACAAGTGAACATATTCTCACGGCAACTATTGAACTACAAAAAGGAGGAGAGGTGTTTCCTACACTGTCCGTGCCGAGATGTTATAACCTGGGCAGTTTGTTGAGAGTCGAAAGTTGGCCCGTGTGGAGGCTGCGTCGAATAACTGCACCGCAGCCCTGCGAGTTGTACGACGCGACGAAAAGAGAACTCAGTGCCTGGTTGTATAACTGGGCCCCCCTCTTTCTGGAGAATAGAAACACGAGGACCTGGCCCTCCAGGATGGGGGGGTCTCGAATATGAGACAGTAAAATGTGGCCATGAGTCCCGCGGGACTCGGACCTGAGAATAACTGCTCTGGCGAGGACCAGCAACAATTGTAAACGACTGACCCGTCCTCTCGTCAGACAGGGTGTTACATAAGGACAATGGAAGCAAGTATTAAGTTGAAAAAATAATTGATAGTGGTGAGTCTCAAAGGACTTGACGCCAAGACGAACTGATTGGCGGAAAACCGTCAGTCGTAAAGTAACTCTGACTCTGACTATGAAGGTCGACAGTTGGAGCATTGAGTCAGCTTGGGACATTCACCAGCCAATAAGGATGTAAGCAGATCATACTGTTAGGGTCCGTTATCAGGAAACGGCTATTAAAAACAAACTAGAAAACATAGTATGTACTGTAGTACGAAGACGCGTGCGATGAAATAGCGACAGCGTTGTATTTACTTGTAATTACCATCTGTAACTTGTCATCAAATCGAGTCACCAATCAAAACCCGTCCATAGTCATTCAGACACGTGATAATATTACCATCATTCGACGTTGTATAATATGAATTTACGAAAATGTTGTTAAATATAATATAAGATGGAACCCGAAGTTTCATTATCGTGTTCACAAGAGCCATCCACTAGTCCCTACCCTGAGCCATATCTATCCAATCCATACCATCCCATCCTATCTCTCTAAGATCCATTCTAATATTGTCCACCCACCTACACCTTTGTCTTCCCAGTGGTTTCTTTCCTTCTGGCTTTCCCACCAATATCCTATACGCATTCCTCGTCTCTCCCATTCGTGTTACATGCCCTGCCTACCTCATACTCCTTGACTTTATCATTGTAATTATACTTGGCAAAGAGTACAGTTATGAAGCTCCTCATTGTGTAGTTTTCTCCAGCCTCCTATCAGGTCATCTCGCTTCCCATTTTCTTTAGCTTAGGTCGTTTATCCAAGGAATCCGTCCAGGTCCGAGACATTGTGTTCATTTTCGTAACATACTTATTTTTTACTGTGAGGAGTCGTTAGCCCCACGCCCAACCCCCAGTCTGGAGCACCGCCCCTTATCGACTGTCCGCGACTGCTTATTCTATATATTCACAGCTACCCTCCATACCTAGAGGGCGTCTCCTCCATCCGCAACGTGAGGACGCGCCATGTGGTGACAGGGACCCACCTAACATACTTTATTGTCTTCACTCGACAGTTGTTAGCCTGGTCAAGATAATTCACGCCTTTTTTTTTGGAAACCGAACTTTCATTGCCGTGTTTATAAATGCCAATCATTTTAAAGAATATATTTAGCATACATGATGTGGAATGCCTTGTGCTTTGGGAGTAGTCATGATAAAGGGAAAGCTTTAAGCCTTCCGCTGAACCAAGAGAAGGCAAGCCAAATCACTTTAAGATACGCTTCAGTTTTATGTTGTAATACTGCGCCTTTATTCGGCTCTTTAGTGGCACCATTACATACAAGTATCAGGCGATATTTTAAATTTGGTTTGGCTTCTGTTAGGGTAAATGAGAAGAGTTCAAGGTAATAACTATAAGTCTGAAGGTCACGCAACTGTCAGAATCAGTATCTGGCAGCTATATCTTAATTGCCGTGAGTGCTATATCCGAAATTATCGGCTCTCGAGAGAAGTCCAAGACTTGATTTTTACTTTTTTTTTTTGTTTCAAAATGTAATACACTAATTTAGAAACAAGCTATTCCATTTTGCAGTTTTTCAAAAGGGGGGATTTTAGACTATTTCTTCTGAAGTGAGTTTGGTGTTAATTTCACAGTATTTTTAGCCTAATTTCCCCTTTTGAAAAAAATAAAAATAGGCTTATGAGATCACCTCGCTGCCTGTGTATCTGCATGTATATTTCCCCTATCGTTGCTAGGTAACGGATATATATATTGAAAAAAATTAGGCTTATTATATCACGTCGGTGTCTGTGTGTCTTTATGTTGATCTCCTTATCGTCCCTACGCAATTGCTTGGTTGCTAGGTTCTCGCAGGGAAAAATACACCTGCGACAATAGAACTGTTGGACACGACGTTTTCTATGCGGTCCATGTCGTATCAAAGGAGAGAAGGCTATTACTCCTTCCCAGAACTTTTTGTTTTTCTTGGGAATCTCAGGATGGTTCCTTTTGTTCCACAAAAACTAGAAAAGATTTCGAAACATTCCATGGAACAGAGCTTCTGTTAAGAAGAAATAATCTCTCAACTGTAAAAGTATTCCCTGAATTTCTTGGAACTTCAAAGTATGTTCCAGTTTTCAGAGGATCTGCCACTGGACACAGTCCTATGCCAGCTGAATCCAGTCACACCCTCACGTCATTTTGTTTACGATTCGTTTCGATGGAAATGAAAAAATTGACACAAATTATGGTGCAGAATGTTACTGCAGGACAGTATTCTATTCGTTATATTCTGTAGCGAAATGTATCCTTACAAGGAGTGGACGAGACTGTTAAAAAATTATAATTATAATTAAGATTAAATGACCCATTTGAGACCAGGGCAGAAATGGAAAACCCGAACAGATTCGTAGATCTCCCTCGTGAAATAAAGAAGACAAAAATTATTTCTTATATTACTGGACAAGGTTGTTTCGAATAAAGACGGCGAATAACTCACAAAATTAAAGTCAAAGTCAAAGTTATGTTACGACAGACGGTCAGTCAGCCAGTCTGCCTTGGTGTCAAACATCCGTATAACTCACAACGCACAATTGACTCCTTACTTAACCTTGGCACTGACCGCGCAGAGAACACTGCTTCCCAGTTACTCCATTGTAGCATGTTACGAAGCTGTTGCCTAACAACTGGCATTCTTCAGAGCCGTTCCCTAGAAACGGCTGCCTCTGCTGGCTTCGCAGTTCTTGCCTTGTGCAAATATGCCACAGAATTAACACGACAAGAATATGGACTGTAAAGCACTTCTCCATTTCGTGTCATTTCTCTCTTAGACTCATTCGGCATATTCAACCTGCGCTTTTCAGTAACTTCTACTGTAAAGGTGAACTTGCCTCAGCGCCTGAAAAGAAGGCGCATGAGAGAGGGCGTCATAATGTTCCACGTAATTATAACATTTGCAATAATTTCGTAGGATTGGCCAGCTTCAATTTCTTGTCGCTTTGCTTCAGGGGAAAATCACCCTGTAGAATGTGGGTAGGAATCTTGACAAACCCACGCTGGAGTTCGAAATCAACCACTGTAACTGGTAGACAATCATTTTCCTAAACTCACCTCTAATATGTAAGGCCTCTGTACTCTGTTTCAAAAGTAGGAAAAGAGCTTAAGAGTTTTTAATTTGACAATTGTTTTCTTTTATAAAATATATAGACATTATTTGAATAAACTGTGTCTATGTAGTGGTGCAAAGGTTAACACGAATCAAGTTCTTTTAGTTTAAGTGAACGTAGTTCCGTGAAAATTATACGAGGTCTTCATTCATCACTGATTTATATGTTTATGAAGTAGATCTGGTCCCTTTAAGACGTAAGTAACGTTGAAATTCTCCTTCAGACCTGCAAAGAATGTGGCTCACAAGCAAGAATAGATAAAAATAAATATTTTCGCATCTCAAGGAAACATAATATCTATAAAATATAATAAAACTATAGGGAATGAATAGCTTCGAAACAATATCAAATCTTAGTGTACTTTTGTTCTCCACGAATTAGGCGAATGCCCTGGTTCGACTTCATAAGACGAGTATCCCTTGTTTTCTTGGTCGCCCAACATCTCTTCTCCCTCTCAGCCTGTATTAAAAAGTTTGTTTTGGAGTTCTTGCATTCTGTCCATGTCTTCAGCTTATCGTTTCCTGTAACATGACATTAATTTTGTGACTGGCGGTAACCATGTTTCATTCATGATGCTTTCATTCTTTAGTTTGTCAAGAAGTAAACGCCTTTTGCCTAAATTTCTGAGAATATAATAAGAAATAGGAAAGAGATTCGCGGTTAGATAGAAAAGAAATTATATTCGTTCAGAGATAACAATTGCTGTATGTAAGTATTAATT